GATACAGGGCAGGGCCTGTGATGGGGCAAATGTGGTTCAGTGAGGTAGGCATCAGAGACTGAGTCTGAAGGACAGTGTGCTTGGGCAGTTACTCACCTGTCACCACCAGCTCCAGTTTGTCACTAATTTGGGACCATTCAGCTCCCTTGGAGTATTCACAGTAGTAAATCCCAGCATTGCTGTGTATCATATTCTGCAGACTGAATTCAAACACCTCCTGGGCTCCCTGTGGGGTACGATCAAACCACTTTCCATTGAGTACATAATGGGTTAGACGCACTCTAGTCACTCCTGGAGGAGCCCTGCAGAAGATGGTCACAGCACTGCCTGTGGAAATCACAGATCCTGGAACTGCCCAGATGGAAGGCTGGGGTGGTTGCCCTGGAGAGACACAGGAAAAGAGAGCTAGTCATCTGGTGTCAAGAGGGCCAGGTTCCCAAGGAGCTATAGAGTAGCTCCCACAACAGTTATTAATCAAAAAAATGCCCACAGACATGCCCACAGGCCAATATGGGGGGGGCAATTCCTCAGTTGATGTTCCTTCTTCCGAGAGGACTCTAGTTTGTGCCATGTTGAAAGAAAATTAACCAGCACACCTCCAGAGAGAAGTCTCTCTGTTTTCACAATTGATATTGTGTCACAGTTCCAGAGACCTAATCATCTTTACTGTTCCCAAACAGTGTGAGAATAACTTTCATAAGAGTGGTGAAAGAAGAGGGGGTGAATGGGAGGTTTGGGAGGGAATGGGAGAAGAAAAGGGAGGAGAAACTGTGATTGGTATGTTAATAAATGGGAAAAATGTTAATTAAATAAAAAGTTTAAATATGATATTCTTTAAAAAAAAATAACTCTCATAGCTTAGTGATATCAGTGACTTCTCTCATCTCCCACCAGGCCAGAAATGAACCCTGCAGGTGGCTATTCTTATCACCAAGACTTCCCACTTCCCTGGAATGAAATCCCATTAAATCACTGACCTATAGTCAGTCAGTGGTGGAGCACACCTTTAATCCCAGCACTTGGGAGGCAGAATTAGGCAGATCTCTGTGAATTTATAGCCAGGCTTGATTTACAGAGCAAGATCCAGGACAGTTCCAAAGCTACAGAGAAAATCTGTCTCAAAAAAAAAAATAATCACTGACCTATGTTTTACCTTCTTTCCTGCTTCATGTAAAACTCAAAATCTACACCCATCTCTAATATCACACAAAACCTGGGAGCCTCTGGAAACAAAAGGAATCCCACCTGTACTGCACCCACACAGACAGCATTTACTTGGACTCTGTCTCATGAATGATGTGTCTCCCCAGAGGCAGAACTCAGTAAGAAAGCCAGACACAGTCCAGATGAGAAGAGATGGGAAAAAAAGGAAAACTAATTGGAAGCAAATGTCTGTATCCTCTGGAGGAAACATGTGTGTAACTGTCACCTCCTCTGTGCCCTTGTTTCCAAATCCTTTGAGCCAGACCTCATGTCAACATTACTGGAGCACAGTCAAGAACCCCACCCCAAAGATGGCTGCAATAGTAAGGATGAATCATTAAGTAAGTGTGTCAGTGACTGCCAACGAAAATCCCATCTCAGGATCTGATCAAGAGGCTTCAAGCTCCTCCCATGTTATTCCCAGCCAAACTCAGTTTCCCATGGCTAAAACAGAGAACAGACTCACCATATTGTGCCCAAATCTTCTGTGCCATTAGAAACCCTGAAAATAAAACAAAAGATCTGATAAGAGAAGTCTGTCCTGTTATACACTGATCCCAACCCTAGAGCTCACATCAAAAGTCCAAGACCAGATAG